ACTCACAAATACCATCAACAGCCAAGAAAATCTATACATGGTTTACATTATCTATAGTGAAAGTTGTAATTCATATGTCAAATTTAAATTCAGGGATCCAATGCGTTTTAGCTAATAATGTTAATCTACTTCCCCTATGACTCAAATTTTCATTTAAAAATAATTATGACAAACTGAAAAACTACTTTGAAGACTTAAATTTCCCTACTGCATAAGTATTAATAGGTCCCATTGGACCTAGTGATAAGACACTATATTCTAGTTATTATCAATGTACCAGTAAGGAGACTGCATTGCTGCAGCATCAATTTGAAGATAATATGTCTATCTATATTGGCTACTGTCTAGACCAGTGATGGCGAACCATTTCGGCACGAAGTGCCCAAACCAAAACGTGCCACAGAGGGGGCTGTGCATGCCACCTGTGGCATGCGTGCCATAGGTTCGCCATCACAGGTCTAGACTCTAGTTCAATAAACATTGTCTGAATTTTGATATCATAAAAGGGGCAGTGTTGAATGACTGTCCAGCAGAGCATATTAACTGGGAAATAGGAATGATTATACCACAGTCTCAGATAACATGATTGCTTTATTAATTTCATTCCACATGGGAATGGACAGGTTAAAAAATAAAAGATCAACGTCCTAACTTTAATGGAGCCTAGACTTCTTACAGTTGATTTTCTTGCTGAAAATGCAGATGCTAAAGTACCATGCCTAAAACCATGGAATATATTAAGAACTGCATGTCCCTTTTATGTACATACAGGATATTGGTCAGACTTATATCTATATCTATGTACTGCCTCCCTTGAACTAATGGTGTAGTCTAGAACACACTAAATACTTTTTTATCTGAAAATTACAGTAAAAATCAGTGGTAGTAGTAAAGTAATTTCAGGGAAGACTGCCTGCTGTTATCAATGATTTCTCCTAATTTTTTTGGTAAGCTCTCAAGGAATGCTACAGTTTTTGAGAAAAAATTTAAAAACCACAGATATAAAGTTTCATTCCACTTTATACACACTTACTGTAATATTACAATCATTAAGAAGTGAAAGAACTGGCTTAGTTAAAATACCATAGCAAGCTATGGTTAAGAAAACTTCATGTACAAGTAAGCCAACATTTTAAAATATGCTTTCTCAAACTCCATATTTTCATGCAGCTCTAAGCCATAATGTGTAGATTCATCCGTCCTCCCTCCATCCATTGAGGTATCATGGTCATCAGTTGCTCGGATATACACATATTGTTAAGACATGACTGATTATCAACTGATAACCATGAAGCCTAAATAGATATTGTTTATGATGCCAATATTACCAACATGATACCTACAGTATATGAAGTACATTTGAAAATCAGGATGTTTGTTGAAAAACAACTTAAGTACATAGTTAAAGGGTATTTCAGATCTAAAATATTTGTTGCATTTTAAATTATGGTTAGAACAAAGGATGACCAGAAGAGATAAAAAATAGAGCCAAAATATGACTTACTTTTTTAATAGCAACAATTTGATTTGTGTTCTTGTCTCTTGCTTTATAAACAGTAGCAAACTAAAGAGAGAGAGAGAGAAATTGTTTAACCCTGAATGTTAAACAATTCAATTTCCCAAAGATAAAGCAACATCATTATCCAGTTTTATTTACTTGGAACATAAAGAGGGGAAACTGTTCTTTCAGATCCTGAAAATATAATTTCAAATCCTTAGCATGGCCAACAGCAATACAACTAGTCTGTACAGTAAGTATAAACTGTAGTTCAGTAATAGCTGAAGAAAAATAGCAATAGCACTTAGATTTATATAACAGTCTGCAGTGCTTTGCAGCAGTGCTCCTCAACGTTTGCGGCTTGGCGGCCCAGGGGAGAGAGGGGGCCTGGACCGTGCGAGTGGTGGGCTGGTGCACATGCTTGCGCATACACAGCTTAACTTGCAAAAAGTTGATCTGCATGCATATGTGCATGAGTGCTGGCCCACCACTTACACAGCCGAGCTGTGAATAGGCCATGATCTGGTAGTGTGCTGCGGTCCAGGGGTTGGGGACCCCTGCTTTACCCCACTCTCTGTGAGATTTACAATATCAGCATATTGCTCCCAACAATCTGGGTCCTCATTTTCCTGACCTCAGCAGGATGGAAGCTTGAGTCAACTTTGAACTGGTCAGGATTGAATTCCTGGCACTGGGAGGAATTAGCCTGCAATACTGCATTCTAATCGCTGCATCACTACAGCTCCTGAAAAACAACTGGTTCTTTACTCCACGGCTAGGAAATATGTAGTAAGACTATGCAAAATATTCACTAAGCTGTACAAGCAGCACATCCATCCTAGAACATGAAAACAAGGTCTTGTCCAGAAAGCTTGACATGTCAGTTTGACATGGCGACACTTTTACTTGCAGTGGCAGAGAAGCAACTGTGCATAAATCTTTGACCTATGACTGAAAATGGGATCAGAATTTCTATTACTAAGCAAGGACATTAAGTGAATCATGCTCAATTTTATATTTTTTGCCACAGCTGTTAAA